TTTAGTATAAAGTTGATATTAATTACAGTCAACTGGATCTCAAGGTAGGGTTTATGGGTAGTTTCCCTGAATTAGGGTCCCATTTTGGTACCCCTAAATACTAGCTGCTGTAATATAAGCTATAATCAGAAGGGGCCCATACTTTTAGGAACAACCCATATTGTTGGCGCAGATCAAGCGATGCAACTTGCTTGAGCTTCCTAACAAGTATAGGTAGGGCTTGCTAAGCAGCATCGATTCAATAAAACGAAACGGGGGTACTTGAGACGGTGAAGGCTTATAGCCCCCCTTATGTAGATAGAATATGAGGTATGGGGATCTTATTAGTAAAATACATCCAAAGCCATATTCTATCTACTTAAGGGGGACTATAGGGTTCTGAGCTCAAGGTTCCAAAGCTTATGCGGGAGTAGGGTTTCGGGTTTCGGGTTTGGAGTCTCAGGCTTTTAGCGGAAAGGGGCTTGGGAGCAAGCATAACCCTTAGCGGAGGTATCGGCATCTCCTGTTGCCGCGGGAGTCCACCAGGACGTAGTCGGCACTGAGGATGTGAAGCGCGAAGGTTTAGGACGAGAGGTTATATACACTTTTGTGGTAAGGTTTCAGGGTTCGCTGTTCAGTGTCTCTAGGATTTACTTTTCGCAGTTCAGGGCTTACTGTTTTACTGCTCAGGGTATTGGGTTTGGGGTGTAGGGTTGAGAGCTTAAGAAGGCCAACTCGAAAACCTAAACCCTCAACCCTAAAACCTAAAGCCTAAAACGTTCACAGACTGCCATGAGGGCCGAGGTTCTATAGGCTAAGAACTGAGCTTCGCAATTTTGTGGGAGAAGATACGGTACCTGAACCCAAAAGTAGGGAAAAATATCTACTTCGAGCATCCTAAATCCGTTATTGTACAAGAATGTAATGTTTCTTGGAGGATTTGGGATACTCTGTGGCTGGGCACTGCACGGATACTTGGTGGTTAGGCACTGCAGGGATGCTTGGTTGTTGGCACTGCCGGGACACTTGGTGGTTGGGCACTGAAGGGATACTTGGTGGCTAGGCACGGCAGGGACATCCCGCGGTCGGGCACTGCAGGGACACTTGGTGGTTGGGGCACCGCAGGGATGCTTGGTGGTGGGCACCAGTCAGGCTCAGGGCGGACGGCGAGGACAACACAGACTTTAAAATCTAACAACCCCACTGCGAGGGTGGGGAACAATGGCCCAAATCCTCAACCCCTGAACTCTCAACTTTCTAGGCAGGTGATTCTCCTACCTACTGTTGCGGTCCAGGTAGAGGGCCGTAGGGTTTGGGGTGTCCAGGCTGAGGTTTCTGGTTCGCTGCTGCGCGACGTTTAGGGTTCGAAGGTTCATGCTTGACAAATTTCCTCAATAGAGTCAGCTCAACACCCTAAACCCTAAACCCTAACCCTAAACCCTAAACCCTAAACCTACAAATGCTGCATGGGGATGCCGTTGGGGGAGGCCCCGGTTAAAGCCTAAAAAGTGTTTGGGGTGCATTCGGGAAGCCAACCGATTCATGCCACCAAGGTAGATGCTTTTTTTTTTTTTTTACGGGTCCTTTTGTGACGGTACTGGTCATGACAATCCTGTTACTTTTAAACGTATATGAGCTATAGTCTAAACTCCTAGTATCCCCCTTAATAGCCCCTATAGTAGTCCTCTATATAATCCCCTATATAACCCCCTTTCAGGAGTTTAGACTATAGCTCATATGGGGACCTCAGTTTACATGAATCTGCACTGTTGCTGAGGCCTTCTCAGCAAGAATCCCCGAAGGGGTGGAGCGAAACTAGGGATCCCGAGGCCTCAGCCCTAAAACCTAAAACCCTAAACCCTACCTAAACCCCAAAAGTATGTAGAATCATTGCCTTTTGGGCTATATTTAAGTCTTTTGGGCTACTATTTTACCTGCTTTTGGGGTTCAGGTAAACCTTAAACCCTGAAACTGATAAACCTAAGCCGTATCTAACGAGGGGGGGCAGGCGGACCGAAGTAGGGCTTGGGAGTGTTGACAATAGCCCTCAACCGTGTGCGCTGCTTTTAGGGTTTAGGGGTTTGGAGTTTGTGCGCCTCCAACAAGCCTTAGGGGCCCAAGTACCCGAATCATGCAGGTTTAGAGTTTAGGATTTAGGGATGCAGGGTTTAGGGTTTAGGGACTTAAGGTTTAGGGCCAACATGCATTCACCAATGAGCCTGTCTTTGGAGATGTACTTGGACCTTTCGGGACGGAAAGCAATCTTTGCAACCTAGTAGCGGCCGTCAAGCCTGAAGGGTCCA